TATTTCTCAACAATGTTAACAAGATATATGAAAAGATAAACAAAAACTTAATAATAAAGGAAGAATATACATTAAAGGTATAATATAATTTAGCATTGATTTACTTTATTTCAACTAATTCAGTTTTAATATATTTCTTTGTCTGTATTTAAAATACTTTACACTGTTCTTTTGAATTTCATCAGAAAATTATTTTTGTTCATTGTTAAAATAGATATTTGTAAGAACAAGATTTACAAATTTTACATTTTACCAATAATTTGATAATCACCATATAAGATCATCCCATACGATAATCATCGCATAAAAATGGAGTAGCACAGTTATTTAAATTTTTATTTATTTTGTGATCAATTTGCAGCAAATTGATCACAAAAAGTTGAATTTCTTACAAGCAAAATGGCAGTATCTAATATTCCAAATACTTTTGCAACATAATGGGTAAGATCAATAGCTGGTAAAATCAATTCTCCACAATAAAATTTTTCTAAATAACAGCATTCTACTTCACTAGATTTAGCTAATAAACTTTAAAATGTAAACTTTTGAGAGTTTGAAACTTGATCACAAACCTTCCATTTGACTAAATTCATCAAAAATAAAAGTTTTATTTCACCCAAAACATTTTTAATACAAAAACTGTTGTTGTATTATTTTTGCTTATTGTTATTTATTGTCCACCATATATTTATCTGATATAATATCTGATAGGACAGATTCCTCAACTTTAAAAAGCTTGAGGAATCTGTCCTATCTGGAAAATAACTTTTAATAGCTTCAGAAGTTGTGGGATCAAATATTGCAAAAGCAAGTGGTACACTTTGTTTATTATCTCCAGAATGAAGTGATTTCTAAAATAACTTAAAAGCATTTTTTAAATTTGACTGAAGTAATTGGTCTTTATTATATACATTACAAAGTAACTTCCATATTATTTCACCAGTATGTACATAAATAACAAAATGAAACTGATCAAAATGAAAAGCAGGGAATGTAAAGCATTTAGAATTTAGTAAATTCTTTTGCATGTTTTTGAGAATAAAGACAATCATGAAGGTCATAATGCCTGGACTGATGTACATTTGAGAATGAGGGAATATTGTAAAAGATTTGATGAAAACTTTGGCCAATTATCTGGTTTTTTGTATTTTATTTCATTGAGTTCAGTTATTAAATTGTTTAGCAAACTAATTTCTTCTACGTAATTTTTTATATCGGCTGGAAAATTCTCCAATTCACTTTTTTTTTTGCAATACACAGATAATACTTTAAAACCATGGAGGCAATAGAACATAAGATACTTTAGAGAACAATAAAACATGCATAAGTTCATCAACTACTGTTTTTTAACTGATACACTTCAATTTTAAAATTATTTAAATCATTTAAATGGTGAGTTTTATCTTTTTCTATAAATATACCGGATTCATCCTGATTACTTTTGAAGAATGACGGACAGACGGTGGCTATCTACCTTTCGATGTAGTTGTATATAGGGTAATTCCATGTCAATTGAGCCAGAAAATTTCAAAAATGTCACCATACATCTCAGATTTTGCTGATTTTTATACAGTTGAGAGTACTTAGTAAAACAAAAAATCCTTGAAAATTTTAGCTTCTAGCTCCAAGAGGATCATGAAATATGATCATTTTACTTTTAACTGATCTTGGCTAGGCCCCTCTTGTCCCCTCAGAAGTGTGACCTTTGTTTAAAGGTTCCAAGTCACATAGCTTTAAAAATATTTGATCTTTTAACTTAAAAATTTGTACCTGGCTATTTTCAGGGTCGAAGAATCCAATGAAATAATCAGAAATGTAAAAAAAAATTTTTAAGTACTTGTAATTATCAATTTAAATAAATTTAGGCAATTTTTTATATACCTGGTTTTGATGCTCAAGAAAGCCATGTGGCCTTGATGATATAAAAAAAAAAAATTGTACACATTATTCTATGTTTAATGATCTTTCAGAAAACATAAAAATTTTGATCTGCAAGTATATGGATTTCCATATATGGTTAACGGGGCACAGGCCCCACTATTTTGTAGCAGAGTCTTGCCATACATTTTTCACTACCTTTCAGACTAGCTGGAACGATGAAAATTTTGGTATTTATGTAGTGTCAATAAATGTGCATTTTAAAATTAAAAAAGAGCCCAAGACACTAGGGGAGGGGGCTGGGGATATGTGCCCCACTTTTTTGACCGGAATCTTGAGATGGATTTTTCAGTATCTTCCAGACAAGCGTGATCTTTGAAACTTTCAGCATTTGTGTAGTCCTGATGAACATGCTTTAAAATAGTTTCAGGTCAGACGACTAGAAGGTCCATGGGGCTGGGGCACCAGGGACCATGCCCCACTTATTTTCTTAAAAAAAAAAAAAATTTTTTTTGTCTTAAATTTAAGATAACTTTGAAAATATTGTATTTAAATATTTTATTGCTTTATGCTTGTTCCGTTTTACTTCATTATTTACAAAATAAAATACAAAAAAAAGAAATTGTCAAGATAATGCTAAGATTAGCTTAGATGCATTGACGGTCAAAGTATACAAACGTCCATTTGTTGTTACAGGTGCATCAATTATACAAGTTATGTTGGTAATTGGAACCCAACACTCATCTACTCTAGATGGCCAGAAAAGTTTATTAAAAGGACCGTGCGGGTGCATAAATGTTACCATAACATCTTGCTCTATATTATCAACTTCATTGATCATACCAGTCCAATCAAACGCATCATATTTACACATATTGAATTAACCAAATTTAAAGGCATCAATGTTAATTTGCTGATCATTTTGAGAACTTTGAATACCAGAAAAAGAAAAAATGGCTGTTATATGAACATCTTCACTTGTTCGTTTAAAGCTAATAGTATCTATAGATTCTGGTTTAAATTGATGATAGCTCCTAGTTCCAGGGATTGTTCTACTTAGCTCAAAACGTGTTTTCAAAGTGGTGCGCAATTCTGTCAGTCGTTCTTTTTCAATCTTGAAAAAAATAATCCCTTTAATATTGTTAGTACAGTAGTCAAACATTTTGTTACAATTCAATATCTGGTCAATATCTTTAATTTGGTATATAGTGACGTTGAAATATCTTGCAGCAAAATTTCTTGACCAAGACTCGGGTGTAAATGTTAATAACTGAATTTTAGTTTTTTGGTCAGAAACAATTAACTTTTCTTTTATTTCTGCTGTTAGTTTGTCTAAATCATCACATTTACTTTTGTCAATAATTTTTGTATGAGGAATTTTATGCTTCAGTTCTTCTTCCCTAACATTATATACTTCTGAAATATGCTCTTCATACTTTGACATTATTTTTATAACTTTACTTTTACCAACAGATAGCCGTTGATGCTTTGGAATGCCATGAAGTTTTATGGGGGATACACCTATTGTTTCCAAACTAACATTTAATGCCTCTCGTGACTTTTCAGAAGTAGCACATGAAATAGATTCCTCAAATTCACAATTATCTTGTTCATGAAATTTACTTATAATAGCGTCAAAGCAGCTCCGACAAAGTGATATCCAGGCACAACATTTGGAAAATTAATTCTCAATTGCTTTGCCATGTCTAATGTTATTACATGACTCCCTGAAAAGAAAAGAACAATTTGATTTTAGTAATTACCTATGAATATGAAAATTATTTGTACTTATTTCCATATACATTGCATAACCAGATCAGCTTTTTTTCAAACTTTTATAAACTAGTAGATTTTAATTTCATTTTCAAAAAAGATTTTACAATAATTTTTTATCAACAATATTTACCTTTGATTGCTTTTTTTTTTGATTTATGCTTGTCCAATAAATTGCAACATTTTGTGTGCTTCTTTTCAAAGTGTGTACCAAAAATCTTTTCATGATGAAGGCAGATTGTTAAAATTTTATCATCTGTTATTCCAGATCTCCAAATAAATTCTTCTCTGGCATCTTCTCTATAGCAATCAAATTTCTTTAAATCAATCTTTCTACAATAACTAGTTTATGACAAGTATCATTTAATTTTTTTCCAAAATCACATGAATCCATTTTTACTGTAACACTAAAAACATTTTGATATTAGTTTAAAAATGAGAAACCAATAGTAATTAATTCAATGAAAGCAACTTAAGCAATCACCATGGTAATACAAAACTAAATAGTGATTGATTTCTTTTATCTTACTTTGACAAAAAGAAAGTTTCCTTTTCACAAAGTTTAATTATAATCAATTTGTTGATGTTAAAAATGTTAATGATGACTTTAATAGGCAACAAATTTCTTCTATACTAGTGTAATGACAGGATGTTTTTTGTTACTGTAAATAGTTCTTATTTAATAAAATAACTTGCTGTTAACATTTTAGAATTAGCAAATATCAAATAAAATAATAATTTTGAAAAATTGATAAATTTCTTTTTTACTGATATAATGTTATGACAGGATGTTTTTTTCTGTTGAAAGTTAATTAAACAACTTGCTGTTACCATTTTAGCATTAAAATATATTAATCTTTTTTAAATTAAAATTTTAAATTATACAAAATAAAATTATGGTAAAACCAGTATTTTAGACTGTTTTTAATCTTATACATGCAAATCAAAATTCTTATAAACATTAACTTTCTTAAACCATTTTAAGAAAGATCATTGAACATAGAATGATCAAAAACCAAATTGAACAAATATAAATCACAAAAATTTGTGGAAGCAATGTTACCAATGTTTAGCAATGTGTTGAAAAAAAAAAAAAATTTTTTTTGAGAAAATAAGTGGGGCATGGTCCCTGGTGCCCCAGCCCCATGGACCTTCTAGTCGTCTGACCTGAAACTATTTTAAAGCATGTTCATCAGGACTACACAAATGCTGAAAGTTTCAAAGCTCACGCTTGTCTGGAAGATACTGAAAAATCCATCTCAAGATTCCGGTCAAAAAAGTGGGGCACATATCCCCAGCCCCCTCCCCTAGTGTCTTGGGCTCTTTTTTAATTTTAAAATGCACATTTATTGACACTACATAAATACCAAAATTTTTGTCGTTCCAGCTAGTCTGAAAGGTAGTGAAAAATGTATGGCAAGACTCTGCTACAAAATAGTGGGGCCTGTGCCCCGTTAACCATATATGGAAATCCATATACTTGCAGATCAAAATTTTTATGTTTTCTGAAAGATCATTAAACATAGAATAATGTGTACAATTTTTTTTTTATATCATCAAGGCCACATGGCTTTCTTGAGCATCAAAACCAGGTATATAAAAAATTGCCTAAATTTATTTAAATTGATAATTACAAGTACTTAAAAATTTTTTTTTACATTTCTGATTATTTCATTGGATTCTTCGACCCTGAAAATAGCCAGGTACAAATTTTTAAGTTAAAAGATCAAATATTTTTAAAGCTATGTGACTTGGAACCTTTAAACAAAGGTCACACTTCTGAGGGGACAAGAGGGGCCTGGCCAAGATCAGTTAAAAGTAAAATGATCATATTTCATGATCCTCTTGGAGCTAGAAGCTAAAATTTTCAAGGATTTTTTGTTTTACTAAGTACTCTCAACTGTATAAAAATCAGCAAAATCTGAGATATATGGTGACATGGCCTGGCTCAATTGACATGGAATTACTCTATACTGATGTATTTTTTCAGTTAAGCAATAAATAATTGGAACAAGGTTTAAGTCCAAAACTAAAGTTTCTCTTTAAAATGTTTAGCACAAATAGTTGAATTTGTGCTAAACATTTAGTTTAGCACAAATTCAACTATTTGTGCTAAAGACCATGTTAGCATACATAAGTATACTAAAAATGCTTTTTTAGCACCACTAGTAGCTTTTATAAGAAATTCTTCTGAACCACTTAGTGTTTTTCTACTTTTTATATAATAAACATTTTGGTTTGTAAACTTTAGCAAGCTAGTTTTTTGTTTTTGAGCATAATTTCATTGCTTTTAATCGTTTAATGACTTTTGACTTTTATTCTGTTTTTCTATTTCTTTCCTGTTTTGACAAAAAATTTCTAGTTGGTTTGTGCCAGTGATGTTACCAGACAAGTAATTCTTTTTTCAAGTAGCATTCAGCAATTCGACTTGTAGCTCTTTTTGCAAAAGTACAGGTATGTTGGCTAATAAAGTTACCAATATAATGCAAAACTTTTTCAAGAAAGAGAGCGCAGTATGCTAATGTCTTACAATGATTATCTGAGTAGATCTTTTAAATTCACTATTTTTGCAATATATTTGATTGCACCAAACCTTATCTAGTAAATTATCATTAAATTTATAATTTTATGGTTAAATAATTGTATTAAGTAAATATATATAAAGTATCACATATTAAATTTATAAAGTATCACATATTAAATTTTATAGTATACACATATTATATTTTGCAACTTAAAGAACTGACCTTACATCTTAAATATTCTATCAATTGTGTCAGTTCATACAGCCTTAAGAAGTTAAATAACTTTTCGTTGTTGATTTTTTTTAATTCATTTATTTTCTTTAACTTTATTATTAATTTTATTTTTTTATTTTTTTATTAAATTTTACTTTTTAATTTTTATTATTAACTATATCAGCCAGAAATAATCTATGGTTATAATAAGTTATTTGTGGGGTATAAAGAAACTTACAGTAGCATAACCGCAAGGTTGTTTACTCAGTAATTCAATTGATTCAATTATGTCACGGCCAACATCTAAGAAGAATGGGTCTGAAGTTGCCTGATATAAATAAAGAGCACTCTCAATAAGTTCTAAAGAGTAAAACAGTAAAATAAAGGCTCAGTAAAACATTATGATCATCATAATCATGATCATCATCATGGTCATGATCATCATTAGAGTGATGATCATAATCATCATCATGATGATGATCATGATGATCATGATGATCATGATCATAATTATGATGATCATGATCATCATCATCAGAATGATTATGATCATCATCATCAGAATGATCATGATCATCATCAGAATGATGATCATGATCATCATTAGAGTGATGATCATGATCATCTGGTCATAAAGGATCATCATCATTACCTGGTCGTAAAGGATAGCCTTCTCTTTTTGCATAAGCCTTACTGGTGCTTAATTCATAAAATTCTGGAGTTGCACCATATTGGCGCCAAATTTGATAATAATTATAGAAAGTTCTTGAAGCTTCACCAATATTACCAGCAAGTACCTAAATTAGCAATTATCATAAATAATTATCCAGACACTATAATTGTTATTATCATTATTCATGAATATTAATGCAAAATAGAAATCAATATTAAACACTGTTTTTCTTAAAAATTTCCTTAAACATCATGGTAAATAAATATCAATAAACAAAAACAATAAAACATTCAAGATGAAAACAATTGGTTTAAAACAAGGCCTTCTTTATAAAAGGCCTCGACACCGTGTAGGAATTATTTTGACTGAAGGTCGGTTTTAAATAAGCTGGATTAAAGTTGTAAAGTATTGGCTTTTAAAGATATTTAAATTTACATTTAAAATGCTGAGAAGTAAACTGTTACTCAAATTTCAATAGAATTTAAAATTATAAGTCTTTGGATTTTAAAATAAAAAACTTTTTCGTAAAGTATCTGAAAAAAACAAGTTGTTTACGAATACCCCTCACTCACACTGGACTTTAACAAAATATAGGATTGTTTTTAAATTGCATATACCAGATGATGCCGAGTTTACTTTATATTGTGGTAAATTGAGACTGATTGATGATCCATCAGTGTTTTTCCAAATATCTCTAAAAGTTGTCTATCCTTCACACTACCAAAAATAAGAAAAAAATTTATATTATTATTCAAAAAGAAAAATCAAATAAGATGAATTTAAAAAGTATAAAATAATTGATAACTTAAAGATATTGAAAAGCACCTAAAAGCTGCTTTACCTAAAAGCTGCTTTATTATATCAAAATGGAATTATTTTCGGAAAGGCTGTTAATTATTCAGAAAAATTAACTACTTCTGTACTTTCATTTTTAATCAAAAGTTTTTATGGTGCACCTGAATTTTTAGCAAGAGTTTTACCAGTTAGTAATCTAACATCAGATTTCCAACTTGACCAATACAAATTTATTGTAGACACCATAGACACCAAGAAAAAAAAAGCATAGATGGTGTCACTGTTCATACTTTTGGTTTGCATTGTTGAGGCCACATTTGGAGCCCTTTGTTAGGGCGTACGGTTAATTAACGGTGATGAAGCAACAGCTTGTGCTATTAAATAGTGTACTGAGTACCATCTATGCTTTGAGTCAGGTTCTTTAACAAATTTAAAAATGACTAAAGTTAAAACACAAAAAACTACCATCATCATCAAGTTCTCTAAACCTATCATTAACTAATATTTGTGGTCTTCGAAGTAACTTTTCTTTTTTTTAGTCTTACCTCTTGCAAAGTTCACCACACCTAGTTGCTCTTTGTAAGACTAATTTGAGTTTGGCTGTCTCATCTTGTGATCTTAGTGTTGATGGTTATCTTCCTTTAATTCGTAAGGATTCCAGTAGCCACATGCTTGGCCTAGGCATTTACATTCGTAAGAATTTACACATTTGTTGGGAAACTAGGTTTGAATCCACAGACTATTCTTTCATGCGTTTTCGCTTAGCACTACTTCACTCTATCGCCTTTTTTCTTTGTTCTATATCATTCTCCTGTTTTTGACATTATTTGTGATCAAATTAACCAAGCCTTCTTACTTTATCCATCAGTCAATATTGTTGTTATTGGTGACTTTAATGCTCATTCACACTGAATGGCTTGGCTCTAGTGTCAGTGACTCTGCAGGCATTAAGGCCTTTCTCAATCTCTAACTCAAATAGTCATCTTTCCAACTCATTTTCCAGACAACCCGAATCATTTACCTACTCTACTGGATTTATGTCTTGTTTCTGATCTTAGTCAGTTTCTTCACATTCACCCTTAGGTGCTTCTGATCACGGTTTGATCTCTCTAAAAATATTATCTCATACTTTTTCATTATCAGAGTCCCCCTATTCGTACCTCTTACAACTACCTTAAAGCTGACTGAAACATGAGTTTCTTTATGATGGCCCTTGAGTAGAAATCTTTCGTTTTCCTGCTGATAAATGTGTTTCTTACATAACATCGTGGATTGAAGCTGGCATGGAATCTTATTCTATCTCGATGATTCTAAGTCAAGCCTCTATTCTATTTGGTTTACCTCACACTGTGCTGCTGCAATTTCAATCGAAACCATTACTTCCATATCTATCAGCAAAACAATTTTCCAGAAAACAGAGGCCTGTTTACTATTGCTAAAAACCATTGTAAAAAGGTTTTGTCTAAAGCCCACTATTCTCAGGTCATGAAATCTCGTACTTCATATAAAAAATTAGGCTTTTGTGACTTCTAGAGAATCTTTAACAGTATCAGTAATAAGGGAAAGTCTGTTATTCCACCTCTCTTGTATGGTCCAGATTTTCATCTGGACCATACAAGAGAGGTCATCTCACCTAAAGATCATCTCACCTAAAGACAAAGCTGAATTGTTTGCTAAGAACTTTTCATCAATACCATCTCTTGATTCCACTAGTTGCGTTCTACCTGATATAGCCAACAAACAGATTGATCCATGGCTTGACATTCGTATCACTCCAACTTCTGTATCTAAAGTGATTTCTTGCTTAAACTCTTCTACAGCTTGTGGTCCAGACAACAACTACCATCCCATTAGTCTTCTTCTTGTCATAAGCAAGGTTTTTGAGTCTTTAATTAACAAACACTTAATCTCTCATTTTGAATGTAATAACTTACTTTCTGATCATCAATATGAATTTTGATCTTCTCGTTCTACAGCTGATACGCTAACAGTAAAAACTGATAGGTTTTATCGTGCATTAGATAGAGTTGGAGAGGTTAAGACTATCACTCTTGACATTTCTAAAGCTTTTGATAAAGTTTGGCATCCTGGTCTTCTCCATAAGTTACTGCTACTCTCTTGAGGCCAACCTCCAACCATTATCACATTATTGTAATGTTGCTTCTCTTTCTCTTTTCTACAAATACAATATACGGCCACTGCTCTAAAGAGCTAGCGCCTTTTGTGCCATTTACTAAAATTCATTCTCGTGTTACTCATCATTCTATCAAGCCTCATCCATTTATTGTGACTGTTCCTAAGTGCTCTAAAATTTTTTATTTGTCTAGTTTTTTTCCTCGAACATCAGTTTTTTTGAATTCCCTTCCTTTATTATGTTATCCTGATTCATATAATTAGCAATCTTTTAAGGCATCTGTAAATCCTTATCTTGCTTGTAAACATCTTTTTTCTTCCAGTAACTTCCAACTCTAATAGTGGTTGCTTGCAGCCTTGTTGGAAGCGAAGATGTTGAAAAAAAAAAAAAAACTTGTGAAAAAAAAACTTGTTGGGCCCTAATTGATTTGTCTTACCATCTTTTATTAAGTGGAAAACTTCTTCTGATCCGATTGAAAAATGCTTTGGAAAATTACATCAAGGATCAGGTGGTACAAATTTACCACTATTGAAAAAATATGTATTTAACATGCTAAACTGGTGCTACAGCTAAAGATTGATGTAGAAGGAAATGATAGCCATGACTGCCTTTATTTCTTAAAGATTTAGATAATAGGGAAATTGATATTATTTACAATATAGCAGATCTAGAACATAGTATAAATATAGAAATTTGTTATTCTATTGCTGGGTATGTTCAAAAGTGTTCCACTGAAGAAACTGAAGATTATACTACTAGATATTATGAAAAATAAGAAACTTTTTTAAATACTTTAAATAGGGAAGAACAAACTATTCCATCTGACACTTTAATAGTCTCTAATATTTTGCTACATTTGTTTCCTTTATTAGATAAAAGAGTTTGCAGAACATTTCTGATTCAACAGTGTACATTTATTGCAGAGTTGTACAGATTTTCTATTTCAAAGAAACAATGCTAAACACTGGCAAAAAAATTTTTAAAGAACTTTGCAATACCTCACACCGCAAAAGTATTAAAAAAAACTAAACTCAAAGAAATTAAGCTTACGCAAACGTTTTTTTTTCTTATTTTTTTTTTTCACATTACTTATTATTTCTTTTAAATTAAAAATCTCAATTAAAAATGTTTTTAGTTAACTTTACGAGCATCTAAAAGTTTATCAAAAAGTTTTAACAAACTAATTTTGCAATATTAAATAAATTTTTCAAACAGATAACTATTTGTATGTTTAATCTTAGCAAAGCTATATCAGGGTGGCCAAACAATTTTTGATTTCATTTTCCCTGACCTTTCCCTGACTAAAATGAAATTTCTGACTTACCGATGTAAATTTAACAAATGTAGCAATAAAAAGGCAACAAATAAAACTCAAACAACTTTACCCAAATATTAGAACTTCTCTTAAAAACTGTTTACTTTAAACTAATAAATATTTTTATAAAATAATAAGTAAAAAAATAAATTTAAATTTACTTTTAGTCTCCATTAAGTAAAAAAAAAAAAAAAAAAAAAAAAATTGGGTTTAGCAAAACTCCCTGAATTTTCCAAAATTTAATAAATTCCCTGACTTTTTAACATTGTTTAGAACTGTCCTGCTTTTCCAGGTTTTCCAGGTTGTTTACTAACCGCCTTTTTTTTTTTTATAATTGGCCTTCAATCAAAAAACTTCCTGCACGGTATAGAGGGCTTCTATTAAGAAGGTTTAAAAATAGTTTAAAACAAAGCATAGAAAAATGAATAGTTAAAAGTAAAGAAAAATAATTGTTTAAAAGCAAAAAAGTAAATCTAAAGAATTGAAATAATTTAAAAATTTTATTTTATAAGTTTTTTTACTGACTTTTGAAAATAAATTGACTTTTAGAACCTTAATACAGAGCCTGGTTTCTAGTATTAACTTAACATAACATTTTATTCAGTAACACACTATAGGATATAGTGTATTACTGAATTTATGTATTACTTAAAATGTATAATCAGCTTCAATAAGTTAAAACTAAAATTTATGAAACTTATTACCATGAAGTTGATTGAGATAAAAATGAGGAAATCTCTAAATTTGGATTTTTAAGAGACATCTGATGATCCAAATGGCAAAAGATTCATAAGAGAATTTAAAATTTTATTTTCTTTAATGGAGATTAAAACAATAGAGAATGGCTTTATTATAGGCAGAAAAACATATTATATAAATT